ATATATATATATATATATATATATATATATATATATATATATGTGTGTGTGTGTGTGTGTGTGTGTATGTGTGTGTATGTGTGTGTGTATGTATATATATATATATATATATATATATATATGCGTATATGTATATATAGATGTATATATGTATGTATAAATGCATCTACATCTACATATATATATATATATATATATATATATATATATATATTACATATTATAAAGAGACCACACACAGGCAGAAACACAGAGACAAATATAACTAAACTGAATACAAACAGAAACCCTAAACCCTAAACCCTAAACCCTAAAAACAAAAGAAATGAAAATATAAAAACAACGGCGAGAGACAGAGGAGACAGACAGACACCCCAGCAGATAAAAAAATACAATACAACAAACCTTAACAACCCTAAACCCTAAACCCTAAACCCTAAACCCTAAACCCTAAACCCTAAACCCTAAACCCTACAACGAAAATACAAAAAAAATGCGCAAACAGAGATAAATAAAAAAAGAGAAATAAAAGAGATGTATAGAGAAAGAGAAAAAAAAAATAAAAATAAAAACAGAGAGACAGAGACAGAGACAGAAAAAAGAAAAAAAAACGCAAATAAACAACAGCAACATACAACCAAGAATAAACACAAAGAAATAAATAAAACAAATAAATAAAATAAATAAAATAAATAAAATAAATAAAATAAATAAAATAAATAAAATAAATAAAATAAATAAAATAAATAAAACAAATAAAACAAATAAAACAAATAAATAAAATAAATAAAATAAATAAAATAAATAAAATAAGTAAATAAAATAAATAAAACAAATAAAATAAACAAAATAAACAAATAAAATAAACAAAATAAACAAAATAAATAAAACAAATAAAACAAATAAAACAAATAAAATAAATAAAATAAAACAAATAAAATAAATAAAAATAAATAAAAAAAATAAAATAAATAAATATTTTATCTTACTTTAGTATAGAAAGGCCTATACTCTTGCCGTCAAGCGCCAGCATCCCGGTCGCCTCCTGGGCGTTCTCAAATTCAACGATAGCATATCTGAATATACACCTAAACCCTAAACCCTAAACCCTAAACCCTAAACCCTAGAGTGATGGTCTATGCATTTATTTATGCATGAAGGGAAAGGAGAGGAAAATAGCTATCTAGCGAGGGTTTAGGGTTTAGGGTTTGTTTACAGTTAGGGTTTAGGGTTTATATGAGGGTTTAGGGTTTATATGAGGGTTTAGAATGTACAATAAGAGTTGAGGATATATATATAACAAGGGTTTAGGTTTTTCACTAAGGGTTTAGGGTTTAGGGTTTAGGGTTTAGGGTTTAGGGTTTGAGGGGTATTTATTATTACTTTGGGGTATTGGGGTTTGTTGAGAGTCTAATAGAGTTTACTTTTGCTAAACCACTCAGCAACATTTTAACTTCGTTTTCATCGTACTGCATGCACAAACAAACACAAACAAATTCAGGTGTATATACACCGTACTGCATGCACAAACACAA